CAGGAGTACATGCCTGCTGAACTCACTGCCTGAAATGCAGGCCAGCCCTTCCTTGTCTGAGTGACATCTCCTTCCTCCACCTTCAAATCTCAATCCCAGGGTCTACTCCCTGATTTTCTCTTCTCTCCTGGTCTCCCTTTTCGTATCTCTATTATAGCATTTGCCACACCGTCCTAGATTAACTGATACACCTTCCTGTCTTCTCTGTCTCTTTAAAGCAGAGATATGACCTCCTGTACTGAGTCCAGCGGAGAGCTTGGTGAACACCTAAAAGGGAAGGGATTTTCTTGTTGGCTTCTCACATGTGGTACAGACACAGATGGACATGTGTGGATGGACGGACGGACGGATGGATGGATGGGATGGATGGATGGATGAATGAATGTGTGAACAAGTGAATGAGTGCATTTCCCCTTTCCCTTATCTAACAGATGATGCAGATTCTTGGGACATGGGTTAGATGTAGGGGTGTCGAACTCAATCAGAGAAGGGGCCAAAATCTAAAATCCAGCCTAAATCGCGGACCGAATGGTTTACTGAACAGTCATAAACTGTCATTGTGATGGAAACGCAGCGGAGTGCAGTGATGACAGCGCGGTGCGGGCCACATTGCAAGGCCTGGCGGGACGGATTTGGCCCGCGGGCCTTGTGTTTGACACATGTGGGTTATAGAGACAATGTTACAGCAGAGATCTTGGACGCTGGACTTGGGCAGCCTGAGGAGATCCGAGCACTTGGCGGTCAGCATATCCGGGCAAGTGACTTGACTTCCCTGAGCATCAGATCTGACTTCACAAGGTTGCTGAGAAGCTCAGATGAGACAATTCTTAGCCATCGGTGGCTCCAACTGAGAAAGAAGTGGATCTTGTTCACCGGGAAGCCCGAACGAGCAGAGCCCTGTGGTCATGAGACAGCAGGCCAGGAAGTCACTTGCCATTCGTGGCCTTTCACCATCTCCCGGGTCTCCTGGGCCAGATGATTGCACAACCAGAGTGCAAACTTCCCTGCAATAACATAACCATTGGCAGATGTTACTGAACTCAAATCCGGAAGACAATAAAAAGGGGCATTTTTTTTTTTTTTTTACTTGCCTCCAACTTCCTGTTTCTCTGCTGGAATTTCAGCCAAGATGGAGAGAGAGAGAGAGAGAGAGAGAGAGAGAGAGAGAGAGAGAGAGAGAGAGAGAGAGGGAGAGAGAAGACAGGCAGGGGGGGCGGTTGGTCTCCTAGAGAAACCCACTTGGTGATTGCCTTTCAGCCTTTCTGGACTTTCTGCCCTAGAATAAGTCTTGGCTGTTCTTGAGCAGAAATGGTCCCCTCGCCCCACACCTCCACTCCTTCTAAACCAGGGCCTCCCAAGGCAATCCTAAACTCCCCAGGAGTGTCAGTTTTGCATCCTGCCTACAAACTAGGGCCCCAGAGTCAGACACCCTGGGCTCTATCCCGCCCTCACCAGCTCCTGGCTCTCACATCTGACTTTCCTTCCTTGTCCAGCAATGACAACATGGTGTCTGCATCTCAGAGTATCTGCAGGGACTGAATCCTGTGACTGAGCGGCAGATCTTGATGAGAGTTCATGAAATGCTGGCTGTTATTGCCCGTGTTGTTCTAAGAAGAGGATAGGAGATGGCAGAAAGATTTTTAACTTTTATAATAAGGCCGGCAGTCCTACCTGCAAATCAGAAAGACACTCATTGGATAAGTCGCCAGGCCCCCTGAGGAAAGATCCAGAGTCAAACCGCTGGACCTAATGACACCGAGGATCTCATTGAGATGAGGTCACCCTGGGTTAGAGTGGGGTCTAAGTCCAGTATAAGTGTCCTTACAAGAGAAGGGGAGACAACTGGCACATGGCAGGGCCTGGTGAAGTCAGAGGCAGAGATTGGAGGGATGCAACCACAAGCCAAGGAAGCTGGCGGCCACCAGAAGCCAGAGGAGACAAGGAAGGAGACAAGGAAGGTCATATTTCCCCCCTCCCTCCGCCCCGCCCCCCACCAGAGCCTTCGGAGGGAGCGCAGCCCTTGGTTCCAGCCAGGTCCCCAGGACTGTGTGAGAACACATGTCTGGGTTTTTGCAACACCGCCCCCGCCCCCCCTCCAATTTGTGCCCATTTGGCACAGCCACCCCAGAAAACGAACATGTCCCATGGCATCTTCAATGGGGAATGTGGCCACTTGCCTCCACGGGGTAGCTCTGAGGATGAAGACGATGATGATGCGGCAGGGTTGGGTAGAAGCTGGCACGGGGTCTCTATACCACCTGACCGTGAAGAGCAGACTGACTTGGGTTCAAACCCCAGCCTCCTTTGCCAGAGCTTTGCGATCTTGGACAAGTGACTCAACCGCTCCGGACTCCGGTTTCCTCACCGATGAAGCAGGAGTCGCCATACGCCCCTGTCCTGAGATAATGGGATGATTCAGGAGACGTGACCCATGGTGGGCCCGATACTCAGAGAATGCCTCTGGTGAGCGGCTGTGGGAATGACTCTTCGGGGCAAATCCATCCAGCCTCCCGGGCCTGTGGCGAGAAGCCCGTGCGGTGACGGGGTGGCCGGTGGCTGAGGGGGGACCCACAAAGCTCAATGGCTGGCTGGCGCTGCTCTTTTCCTGCTGGAGGAGAGTCCTGGCGGTCTCGGTCTCGGGGTGCCTTGTGAAACAGCCAGGCATTCCGGCAGCCGCTCCATTGTTCCTGGCTGATGCCAACGGCGATAGAGAGCCGTGCGAGGCCGCCCCCAGGCATCGCCCCGTGTCCGCCACGAACCTTCTCTGGGCGGTGACTTCTAACCAGGCCGCGCGGCTCCGCGGTCAGTCCTGCTCCTCTTCCCGAGGGTGTCTGGGAAGGGCCCCCCGCCCCTGACCCTCCTCCTGGCCGCCTAGAAGGGGCACGTCCCCTCCCCTCTGTGAAAGGACACTTTCCCCAATGAGGCCGGCTCGTATTTCAAACTGCATCGCCAAGGCATCGGGAGCCAGTAAAAGGGGGCATTTAACACCGTATTTATTTTGACTGGCAAAACAGGTCACGGCTGTAAAAGAAACAGCTCTTGAGAGCGAGGGAGGCAGCCTCGCGGGCTCCGGGCTCGCTCTTCTCTACCCACACGCGTGCTGTTTAAAGCATTCCAGGGCTGCTGCCAACTTTCCTGGCAGGGCTCTTATTTCTTTACATGTATGTTGCATTCCATCTGTTTAATGTGCGCTCTGTGCCATTCGTGGATTTTGGCAGGGCCTGGTGAGGTGGCATGGCGTGCTCGGGCTTGTTCGAAGCAAAACAGGGCAGGAGGTGGAGGGGCCCAGAGGCGGGGGCAGGAGGCCTGTTTCGCTCTGGCTCAGGGGGGCCCGGAGTCCCAGAGACCAGAGGGCCATCGCCTGGCGGTTTTGCTCCAGAGGCGGCGGAATCCCACACACGCCACTCCTGTGCTTCACCCTCCACGAGGGGCCCGGTGGGGGAGAGTGTTTCTGACACGCGGCCAGAAAGAGAAAGGGCATGGAGAAAAGTAACAGTGGGGAAATCCACTCTCCCCACCCCCCCCTCCCCCGCCCGTGACTCTGGAGTTTCCCTGGAACCATTCTGCGGCCTTGAAGGCCAAAACAATGGCAATATCCAGATCCGATTGATAGCCCCCAGGCCTCCAGAATACAGAACAGCAGCTTGATGCTCAAGAAAGGGAGTGGATTGATAATTATCAGGGGGAAAGGGGTGTGGGGGTGCAGAAAGAGACTGGGTTAAAATTGTATAACCTATGGATGAGGACAATGGTGGTTAGGGGGGAGGAGGGGGGTGGAAGGGAGCTATGGGGGGGGGGAGGAGAAACAATTGTAATAATCTGAGCAATAAAGATTTATTTAAAAATAAATAAATAAATAAATATGTCAAGCAGGCCAAAAAAAAAGAAAAAAAGAAGCACTCTTGGGGTTGAGAAGCTGAAGGCCACCGGCTGTGCTTGGAATCTTGTTTCACCCACTTGGAAGGCGGGAAAGCTGGTTTCTGCACCCCAACACCTCCGGTGAGATCCAGTTTGAGAACGAAAAGGTGCCAGTCCGGTGCGGGAGGAACAAAGCCCTCGATGCCCTGCCCGGTTTAGCTCAGCGGTAAGCGCGTCGGCCTTCGGACCGAAGGGCTGCAGGTTGATTTCGGTCAAGGGCACGTACCTCGGTTGCAGATTCAATCCTCGCCCTCGCCCGGGCAGGAGGCAGCCGATCCACGTGTGGCTCTCACATCGATGTTTCTCTCACTCTGCCTCTCCCGCTTCCTTCCACTCTGAAAATCAACGGGAAAAAGATCCTTGGGTGAGGACTAACAGCAAAACAAAACACACACACACACACACACACACACACACACACACACAGAAACCAAACCCTCTAGAGTAGGGGTGTTGAACTCAATTAGAGAAGGGGCCAAAATCTAAAATCCAGCCTACATCGCGGGCCGAATGGTTTACTGAACAGTCATAAACTGTCATTGTGATGGAAACGCAGCGGAGTGCAGTGATGACAGCGCTGTGCGGGCCACATTGCAAGGCCTGGCGGGACGGATTTGGCCCGCGGGCCTTGTGTTTGACACATGTGCTCTAGAGTCTAGACTCTATTGTTGGGTGTCGGGTGGCCCAAACCAGTGCCTGGCTTGATTCAAATGTTGGCTTTTCCTCTGGAGCCTAGCGAGCAGAGCTCTTTGAAAGGAGGAAATGGAACACTCCGGACGGAGGAGGAAGATGCCAGGGTTAAAAAGTGCACATGCGCTCTCACCGCAGGAAAAAACCTGCAGCCTCGTTTTTCCTCTGCCCCGTGCAGCCCAGGAGCGCGAACAGAACCCCCCTGTTACGAAGTGGAATTACTCACCTGAGTGGGGAGAGATGACATGGCAAAGGGGGGAAATAAGCGCTGGCTCCTAATGAGAAACAGCCCGTGTTGGAGAAAGCGAGCTGCATTGTGTAATCCGGGTTGGCCGGCTGCGCGGGTGTGGGAGGGGGTGGGGGGTGGGGGAGGGGGGGGGGGGAAGGGCCCAGCGGGAACATGTTTCAGATGGGACTCCAGGCCCTGGAGCCCATCCTGACCCTCTGGCTTGGAATTTCTGACTCTCCTCTCCGCCTTGACTCAGAATAGGAAACCGTATCCTGACCGCGCGCTGCTTTTTATAGAATCAAACTTTCTTGCCAACTTCCTCCAGAGATCGCCCCTCATCGGCTCTGAACAATGCGCCAATCACCCGCTGGAAGAGAGGGGAGCGCTGACCCGGGTGCCCCCAACGCAGCCCAGGCCCAGAGCCCAAGGCAGACAGCTGGCACGGCGTCTGGCCCGGGTACCCGGCCTGGTGAGTCCGGCGTGTTCATACAGGTTGGGAAAACGTCTGGCCTGTCTTTGTACTCTCTCTCTCTCTCTCTCTTTCTCTCTCTCTCTCTCCCTCTCCCTCTCCCTCTCCCTCTCCCTCTCCCTCTCCCTCTCCCTCTCCCTCTCCCTCTCCCTCTCCCTCTCCCTCTCCCTCTCCCTCTCCCACTTCTTCTAACTTGGATCTCATCGCTTGGCGGTGACGCTGGCCAAGTTCACTGTTTGCCAGTTGCCGAGTGAATAATGGATGTTGTGAGATTAGCAATATGCGAAGGATGAGGAGCAGGGCATCCCGTCGGTGTGATAAAGTGACGCCCCTGGATCCCCACGCAGCCCGAGAGACGAGCCCCGTGTGGGCAGAAGTCAACAAGGGCGAGGACAGGATGACTTCATGGCCATTCAGTCTGTCACCATCTTCGCACTGGTCCCAACCCCCTACTCCCACCCCCGCCCGGGACCCCCTTCCCCCTTCCCCCGGCAGTAAGTTAGCAGGGGTCATTTCTTCTGTGTAAGGTATCCCGGAGCTTGGAGCTTGGAAGCCCAGAGGGGACATTCACGGGTTGCAGAGGGCTTAGCAGTCCCTCACTGGAGCTGGGTTTTGTTTTCAACGCCCTGGGGACGGCAACAGGGGAGCTGGGAGCTGCTTGTAATTGGGAGCCGTCTCCTGCCAGGTCTCAGCAGCTTTAAGGGATATCCAGTTTTAGGTTTACAGTGCTACATTCTGGCTCGTTGAAATCGCATCTACACGTTGCCAGAATGTGTCATAAACCACAAAATCTGTACAAAAATACACCGGCACGATGGCTCCGCAGCCTTCAGTCGGAGGGGTCGGGAGCGGCGTGTCCCAGAAGCATTGATCTTTCGCCGCCGTCTCGCGGGGGATGTGGGTCACTCGGGGCAATTACCATTCGTGGGATTCCCGCCCTGGTCGGCTCAGCTGCTCAGAGCACCAGGTGAAAGGGCCGAGGAGTGGGCCTCGCTCTGTCCCCTGGCCACCCATGGCAGCCCTACCTGTGCCACCCCGGGCCAGGGCCTGGAGGTCAAGCCCAGTGCACCATGCCCACTTGCTTCTGGGAAAAAGTCCCACATGCTCTGCTCACCTGGCCGGTCCCAGCTCCACTGACCTTTTGCTCCCCGGGCTCCAGACACAAAGCCTCTCCTTTTGGACCCTCCGGCCGGCCAGTTCCCTCTGGCCGCTGAGCCTATGCATGTGCTGTTCCCCCTGCTAGGAAGCCTCTTCTCCGGGCTGGCTTCTGCTCCTCTGCCAGCCTTCCGTTTGCAGGTGGACTGATCATGGGAGCCTGGCCTCTGTAGCTGTCTTCGTCCATGTGGGCCTCTGTAACAGAAACATCAGAGATGGGGTGACTTTAACGACACAGTTCTTCCTCGCAGTCCTGGAGTCTGGGAAGTCCAATGTCAAGGCCCTGGCAGATGTGGTGTCTGGTGAGAGCCCTGTTCTTAGACAGTTCCCTCTCTGTGTCCTCACGTGGAGCTCTTCCCTGTCCCTTTTATAAGGGCACTAATCCCGTTCACAAGGGGCCCACCCTCAAGACCTAATCGCCTCCCAGAGGTCCCATCTCCTAATGCCACCCCCCTTGTGGGGTAAGATTTTCCATATGCGAGTTAAGGGCACCGCAGACTCCAGCCCACGGAAGCAGCACTTAGGAAAACGATCACTTAAGCTTCCGCTTCTCAAATAGCAACATGCACTCAAATCCCCTGGAGATCACGTTCAAGTGCAGGTTCTGGCTCGGCAGGTCTGGGGCGGGGCCTGGGACTCTGCGCCTTTAACAAGCTCCCAGGCGAAGCCGAGGCCAAAAGTCCACAGACCACACACCCTGAGGCCATGGCACCAACCTTTCTCAATCAGGGTTCCCAGAGAGGAAAAGGTCTGACAGAAACGAGTTAGGCTGCCATTTCAGTTCTCCTAAAGATGGAATGTAGCTAGCACCGCTAACCAGAAGCTAATCCATCACATACGGTAGATGCCCCAGGCTGCTGGCGTTAGGAGTCAGGGCGTTCTTTGTGGGGGGCCCTCCTGTGCATGCAGGATGTGGAGCAGCACCCCAAGGCTGTACCCACTGGACGCCAGGCGCACTGTCCCCCACCCTCCCAGTGTGACAACCAAAAATGTCTCCAGACATTGCTCAATGTCACTTGGAAGGTGGCGACAAGAGAACCACTGCCTTAGGACATTGGGGAGCCATTCTTCGGCATTCTCTGCGAAGAAGGGTGGGCTGTGTAAGGCAGTGTTTTCTTTCTTTCTTTCCTTTTTTAAAATTTATTTATTTCAGAGAGGAAGAGAGAAATAGAAACATTAACGATGAGAGAGAATCATTGATTGGCTGCTGAGGATCGGGCCTGCCCAACTGTCATGTGCCCTTGATGGGAATCGAACCAGAGACCCGTCAGTCCGAAGGCCGATGCTCTATCCACTGAGCCAAACCAGCTAAGGCTGAGGTCGTGTTTCCTTCTAGGCTATCATCCCATTGCTAGCACAGTGCTCTATATTTGGCAGACCGTCAGTATGTATTTGAATAAATGAATGAACGAAAAGAAATGAATGAACATGAACTCCCAAATTCTGCGCGGCTGGTAGGGTGAACAGAACTGCATTCACACAACCTCCAACCTTCTCTGCCCTACTCTCTCCCTCAAAAAAAAAAAAAAAAAAAAAAAAAAAAAAAAAAAAAGTCAGACTTTTGGGTCAGTTGTCATCCATGGCACACTATTTCTAAATGGAGCATTTTCCAAAAGTAAATGTCCTTTTGGGGGAAAAAAATGCAAAGAAGGATTCTTACTTGAGATCTTTTTAAAAAATGTCTCCACTGACTGAAATCCTCCTACTGTAAATACCCAGAGGATTGCATTTGCTTAAACAAAATTAAAAAAACAACAACCTGCTGTTTTTAGTCTCAAGTGTAGAAAGTACTTGAAAATCATACCCCCCCCCCCTTTTTTTTTTCATCTGACTGAGCAAATTATAAAATGGTAGAATTAATTTTGATTCTAGATTGTGTTTCTCAGACTGAGGCCTCATGGATAAAGTAGCATCAGGGACTTATATTTTAAGAATCCCTGTCGTAGAAACACCAGGAAATAAGGTGCATTCATTCAATTTGCTTGTTTCTGCAGGCTCAGAGGCTCATTTTCAAACCAAACTGCTGTGTAGAAAACAAACCTTCTCCTTCTTTTCTTCCAAACGTTTGGGCAAGTGGGATTTGGAGCACTGAAGTTTCTGGAAAGGAATATGGTGATGGTGATGACATTCCAATGCTCTTCTAAGTGTATCCTACTTTACCTAGTAGAGGCAGAAAACCTTTCCTACCTTGTATGCCTGTGCTGCCATCAATTGATAGGGTCTGCATGCATGGTTTATGGAAAAGCATGCTGCGATCGATTGGTAATGTCTGCCATGGGCAGAGGTGTAGAGAGTGGTGGAAGAGTTGTGTGTTTGCCATTCCTGGATCCTGATATGCTTTCCCCCTCTAATACAGGTGTCCCAGGCAAAAAGAGAGTGCCAAGGAGAAGGCATGACATGTCTGACTCCGTTATTCATATACACCAAGTCAGCACTTCAACTCAAGAGACATGACACAGAAACACACTGTTGGAAGGAATTTCCCTTCCTTCTGTGGACATACTGGAATAGGATGCCATCATGTGACTCCCTCTCGGGGTGACTATGGCCAGGCCAGGCCATTAACACCCATCCAGTCACCTGACATTGCACGCTGTCACCGTGACATCATACTACTGAACCAACACATCCTCCTTCCTTGGAATAAAAAGACATTTTCATAAGACTTATTATGTCTGGATAGGAATCATATTCATCATTAGTCAGTTGGCTTGCTGTCCACAGTATTTAAGTGAAGAGAAACAAACCAGAAGAAGAAGAAGAAGAAGAAGAAGAAGAAGAAGAAGAAGAAGAAGAAGAAGAAGAAGAAGAAAGAGAAAAAGACCAGTTTAAGATCTTCAAGACACTGATGAGTAAGTAATGATGGGGGGAAAGCAACAGTGACCTTAAGAAAAAAGAAACAACTCAAAGTGTAAAAAAATCCACAAAGATACTCTTAACATTCAATATTCGTCTTTACTTCAAAAAATAAGGAGAGGGATGGTTAAAGAGATGAATTCACATTTGAACAGAGTCCAAATGACCTAAGATTATTTGTATTCTAATTTTTCAGATGGACAAGGAGGGATACCACAGTTATGTGATACATTAGGGGTCGAAATGAAATGGGAATACTTCTTTCATTTAAAAGCAGTGTTCTTGCCTTTGCGGTCCCTGAGAGTTTCTTAGCTGGTGAGCGACAACCAGCCCCTTCCTCCTTGGGCTCCTATTTCAGATCCAACCTGGTTAGGGGAGGGGAGAGAACGGAGTTATGGTTGTGAGAGCTCCCTTTTAAGAATCATGTGGCTGCAAGCGAGGGCTTTCCAGTAGGCTTGAGAGGTCAGTCGTTTTGAATCTGAATTGGAAAGCTTGGGTAATAGCAGAATGGCAGAACCACACCTGAGCTGGATGCTGGTTTTGGAAACAACCCCCTCCCCGCCCCCCCCCCTCCCAGGGAAGATACCACCATGAGACCCATCACTGCTGAGTGGGGCAAAACAGGAAGTGCCAGCTTGGAAAGACAGGAAGCAGGTGGCTGAGTTCTCCTCCACCGCATCTCAAAAATAGAGCACATGAGGTGGCCTCATCAAGCAAAATTTAACTTGAGGCCCAGCAACCATTTAGTGAGTACCTACTATGTGCCAGGTGCTATGCTAAGAGCTCTCACGTAGGGCATCTCATTAAACCCCAGTGATCAGCAGGAACATCCTAGCAGATTCTGCCTCTTTTCCCTTCCGAAGAGTGGATGTGATAGTTACTAGCACAGGGTTTCTCAGCTTCAGCACTATAGGATGTTTAAGCAGCATCCCTGGCCTCCACCCACTGGATGTCAATAGCATACCCTGCCCTAGTTAAGACAACCAAAATATGTCTCTAGACATCGCCAACTGTCCCCTAGAAGGGCAAACTTACCCCCAGTTGAGACCCTCTTCCTTCGAACCCGGGACCCTTGAGTTTTCAGGAATGGATCGGATGCCCAGGCAGCCACAGGTACACATGCCCCTTGTTCCCTCCTAGGGTCTGACTCAGTGGTGCTCAGACCTGTGTGTTCCATGCATAATACTGTATATACTCTACTCGACAGGCAGGGATTTTCAAGGGAAAGCTGATTCCATCTATGTTTGCCTTAGAACCAGCTGGCATAGAACCAGCCCTTCTCTGAAGTGTAACTGCCTGGGCAGCCTTGCGGGGTCACAAGGCCTTCCCAGCACAGAGTCTGTGTCGCCTGGACTTATTTTGTGAAGCTGATGACGCTGACGGCCAGGTCTGAACACAGGGCCTGGCGTCGGGGCCCCCCTCACTGCATCCTCAGGCCGTCACGAGGAGGCGGGCACTCTGACTGCCCTGTTTTGCGAGGAGACGCTGAGGATCACCCAGGTTAAAAAACTTGCAGCCAATCACACAGCCAGTCAATGGTGGGACCCATTGGATACCAAGCTGTCTTGCTTTTCAATAGAAAATCTGCACAGTGAACATTCAATAACTATTAGCAACTGTTTACTAGTGGGAAACAAATCTGTCTAATTTGATCATGAGCTGTTATTCAAAATTGTTTCCCTGAATCAAACAAGACTGATGGAATTGGCCAATCTTCCCAACACCACGGCTAGCGAGGATGCAGATATTCAGGAAGTATATGTAGTATACCCCCAAAGTGTGTTTCTCCTCCAAAACACAAAACAGAAGCTACCCAAACGTCATTAGCTGTCAAAACAAGGCAGATCATTTCATTTGAAGCTTCAAAGAAGACTGGAGTGTTGGCAGGTCCTAAAAATAATCACAATCTTACTTGCCACATCCCAGCCTCGTTGCACATTTGCTACTATTGATACATACATTTCCCCATGTGGTGGGTGCTTCTGGAGATCAGAGACTGCCTTACTCATCATCACTGGACCCTACTCCATCGAGTTAGTGGCTAAGACATGAATGCACGTCCTAGGACCTAATGCTTAGGCACACTCTGTCTCCATACTCAGTAACTGTGCGTGGTCCATATTGTTATATCCTTTCTCACAGGAAGAGACTGAAGCTGAAGAAGATAAAGCGAATGGCCCAAGGTCACCCCTTGGTAAACTTTGGGCCCAGGCTGCCCACTCAGGTCTCATTCTTTGAGCCCCAAATCTCATGCTTTTCACCTAAAGGGCTTCCAAGGTAAAGGTGGGTTGGGAACCACAAGTGCTAGATTTGGCCTTGATGTCTAACTTTTTTAAAAAATATATATTTTATTGATTTTTTACAGAGAGATAGAGTTAGAAACATCGATGTGAGAGAAACATCGATCAGCTGCCTCCTGCACACTGCCCCACACTGCCCGCAACCAATGCACATGCCCTTGACCGGAATCGAACCTGGGATCCCTCAGTCCACAGACCGATGCTCTATCCACTGAGCCAAACTGGTTTTGGCGATGTCTAACATTTTTGAACTCTCTTACTGCTAAGCAAAATAAATATAGAAATATTGCATCCCACAAGCCTTTGCCTTTAATGTTCCAGGATTCAGCCACCGATGCTTGGGGAGAGAAAGGAGCAGTGTGGTGAGTATAGGTAGCGCCCGCAGCAGGCTATGGGATGTGTGCATGTCCAGGGTGAGTTTTGGGTGGAACCTGAGATTGGCTATACCCTGTCAGGCTCAGCAATCACTAACCTCTCCTCCTATGTGGCCTCAGCTGCCCTGAGTGGCAGTCCAGTGTTTACAAATGTTTTTAAAGTGTTTAAGGACCGCCATTTCTCATACAATCTGTCCCCAGTATACAAGAAACACACTTCATTGGCTCTCAACCAGAGAAAAGTGTGGGATTCTGGCTGGTCAGAACCTAATGTATTGAGAGATGGTCTGTGATGACCAATGTGGCTGCTTTCTAAGGAATTTTTGAGGGATATATGTGACTATTACCAAATATGCTGATTTTTAATCCCAAGATATACCTAAGAATTATTGGGAAACCATCAAAACCAGACCTTAATTTATAAAATCATAAATTAACATAAGAAAGAAAAACAACTTTGACTTTTTTTTTTTTTTGAGTGCTAGGCATGGCTGTATAAAATTGATCTATATTAATTCATTTACTCATCATAACTTGCCTATGTGGTAACTTTCCCAAGGACATAACTAGGGAGTGATAGAACCAGGAGTTGAACCCAGGTAAATGAGGCCTCTCTACACTAAACCACATTCTTTTCTATTTTTTATTTTATTTTATTTTATTTTTTAATATATTTTATTGATTTTTCACAGAGAGGAAGAGAGAGGGACAGAGAGCTAGAAATATCGAAGAGAGAGAAACATAGACCAGCTGCCTCCTGCACACTCCCTACTGAAGATGTGCCCGCAACCCATGTACATGCCCTTGACTGGAATCGAACCTGGGACCTTTCAGTCCTCAAGCTGACGCTCTATCCATTGAGCCAAACCGGTTTCGGCAACCACATTCTTTTTAAAAATATATATATTTTATTGATTTTTTACAGAGAGAAAGGGGAAGGGATAGAGAGTTAGAAACATCAATGAGAGAGAAACACTGATCAGCTGCCTCCTGCACACCCCCTACTGGGGATGTGCTTGCAACCAGGGTACATGCCCTTGACCAGAATCGAACTTAGGACCTTTCAGTCTGCAGGCTGACGTTCTATCCACTGAGCCAAACCGGTTAGGGCTGAACCACATTCTTACCTCCCTAACCAGGGGGGAATCCTCAGGAGACTTGGAGTAGAGATCCTCATCCTTCCATCTCCCCAGCCCTGACCCTGTCCTGTTACCATTGGGAAGTCAACAAAGACTTGTTTGATGTGACTCAACCTCTTAGACTGTTGACAGTCCTTGACAATTTTTTGACAAGGGAGAAAGGAACAGTTCAACATTTCGAGGCAACCTGTGGTTCGGTCAACACACCAAAAGGAGTGGGAACAGGGTGAGAACGTGAAACAGATATGGCTTCACCGTTATCTGCAGAGGGGCGTTAAGAATGCCTAATGGTGACAGGTCACTCTCCATGGAAAAACACAACCTCTGTGCAATGTTTTGTTTGTGTTATTGTTTGTTCTTGCGAAAAGATGACAAACGGAAAGTTAAACATTATAGTGAGAACTCTGTTAATTGAGCTGGGCAGGCGTTGAATGCAGGCCTGTATTTGTCCGACTCTGAAAAAAATGCTTTGTGAAGCCCAGTTCTTTCAGGCAAGTCAGCAGGGGAAGGGCTTAGCCTGCTCAAGACCATTGTTTTCAAGCAAGCTGACAACCGCTCTGCACTCTGCCAGGGTTCCTTTAATGAGCTCATTACAAAGGGCTCCGAGGTGTCCTCCGCAGCCAGGCCTGGAGGAGCTCTGCTTAGGCAACACGGAAGGAGTCCTTAGCACCTGAAATACCCGGACACTGTAAACGCTTAAAACGCATAACGCGATAATGTATCTGCCAACCTCAGACTGATCTTCCGTAACCGGCAGGTCTTTTTCGGTGGCAAGCAACAGAAAAACGACTCCGATTCGCTGAAACAGAAAGGAGTACTTGCTAGTGTTCGGCATGGCTGAATCCCTATGCTTAAAGGACATCAGCGGGATTCTGACTTTGCCCATTTCCTGTTTTTTTCTTCCTTGGTGTTCGCTCCCTTCTCAAGCAGCTTTCCCGAAATGGTGTTAAAACGGTTCCTGGCACTTTCAGCCTCACAGTCTACCAGCTCAGCATCCCAGTCTACTGAGGGGACCTATTTCTGAGTAGTTCCAGCGGGGGGAAAAAAAAAAAAAATCCCAGGGCTGTCTCTGATTGGCCCAGCTCAGGTCACATGCTCATCCTTGAGCCAATCCCAGTGGCCAGAGCAATGCAGCACTCTCATTAGTCAGGTCTGAGTCACGCCTATCTTTAAAGCTCAGATGTGAGCAGGCCCAGTTGAACCACAAGGATCAAGCGGGAGGAGCATTTCCCCAGAGAGCTATCCAGATTCTGATGCCAGACCATGGGGGCAGGGAGGAAGGGGTGGTGGATGCTGAACAGGCAAAGCCAATGGAAGTCCTTGGAACCTTCTCTCTGAATTATCTCCAACAAGTAAAGTGTTACTAAGCAGAGGAACCTCATGTGGTTTACAAGCATAATTTAGAAATTTGCTTAGATATCTGAGGTTTAAAACATGGCCTGTTTTGGCTACAACATTTTGGAAATATTTTCTGCAAATTGCACTCACTCACATGGCTTGAAGCTTTGGAATTTTTCTTTCTTTCTTTCTTTCTTTCTAACTTTCTTTTCTCTCTTTATTTTTTTTATTATTATTTTTTTTATTCTTGGAACAAGTCCTTAAGAAAAAGAGGAACAGAAATGCCACAAAATGATTTGAAACAGACGACTCTGAGAGCAGCGGAGATGGCAAATTAGCACAGTTGAGATTCCTTCTGTCCTGATGACATTTCTTAGGCCTCTCCTTTTTCTATGATAAGGACAGTGTTCCTAATTACAAAAGCAATACCTGCCCAGTTCAGAAAGAACTGAATGCATACGAAAGTACTACACACACACTCACACACGCACACACATGCACATGCACGCGCACACGTGTACACACACACACACACACACACACACACACTATGGCCCACCATTTTAGTTAGAAGAATCTATTCAAGGAGTACCATGCCCTAGGTCTTGTCCAGGCACTACCCTAGCCCCATTTCACAGATGAGGAAGCTGAGGTTTACAGCATCCAAGTTGATGAGTGGAAGACTTAGGAATTCAACTCGTGTCTTTCTGCCCTCAAAGCCCTTGTCCTTATCCATTCTGTTATTACTCCAAAATTAAGAGTTCCAAATTAACCTTACAAAAATGGCAGATTGACCGTAATGCTTTATCACCTGCTTTTTTAAATATACTATGTTTTCCCATGCCATTCTGTATATTTCTATGTAACTTTCTTGGATTGTATTAAACCATCATTGACTCAACGAGCTGGACATTGAGGTTACTGCTAACATTTCGGTATTATATTAATGCTCCAGTGAGCCACTTTGGGGGGACATTTTAACATACATCTCTGATTATATCCTTGGTAAAATTTCTAGAATTGCTGGATCAAAAGGACTAGATACTTTTAGTGTTGACTATGGATTACAAAATTGTTCTTCAGAAAAGCATGCCCAATGCACAATCCCACAGCCACGTCTGAATTTCTGTTTCCCCGCTCTGTCCCATTCTGCCTCTTCCTCCGAGATTGCTAGTCATTAGCCAGTTGTGCCGCTCACTACCTGCAATGGGGAATGGGAGCCTTTTTAAAGTACATCACTCGACAGCATTCTAATGGTCTAAGCACATGTGTCAAACACAAGGCCCGCGGGCCAAATCCGTCCCGCCAGGCCTTGCAATGTGGCCCGCACCGCGCTGTCATCACTGCACTCCGCTGCGTTTCCATCACAATGACAGTTTATGACTGTTCAGTAAACCATTCGGCCCGCGATGTAGGCTATTTTTGGGACTACTGGCGCTTGCTTTGAGTTGGATCTTAGGTCTCTGCCCCCCGTAGCTTACATTGCGGAGGATAATAGTAATTTAAGATGGCCCATCTCTGTCTCACTGATGAGCATCAGCCTAAGAAATGGAGGTCAGGGTTCATCCCCAGTTGAGAATGCAGGGTGTAGGTTAATTCTGGGGTGGGGGGTGTGCAGGAGGCAGCCAGCAATATTCTTTCATATTAATCAGTTTATCTCTCATCCCTCTCCTTCCTTTCTGAAATCAGAAATATATATATATAATAATACAATATATATAATATAATAAGCAATAATATATTTTAAAAAGCAGATTATACTGAGGGGCTCAGTAATAAATGGGGAGTATGCAGGAGGACCGATGTTCTTCTATATGTTTTAGCTCTACCCTCTCCCTTCTTCTGTAAAAATCAAGAATATTTAAAAAAAAAAAAAAATAAGCAAAGGATTAGTGTACTAAAAAATTATAAGTGCTCTAGCAGAAAAAGTAGAGCCAGGTAAGCAGGGTTAGGAGGGAGTGGAGCAATGCCCGTGGTTTTAAAGGGGGCCCGCAGGGGTGGTCTCGCTGAGGAGATGTGGAGGAAGGAAGGGATGCCTGGGAGAGGGTGCTCCAGGCATAGTGACCATCAGTGCAAAGGCCCCTCGTGAGGAGCTTTGGAATCCAGCGAATCTGGCTCCTAATTCTCCACTTCCTTTCTGGGCGAGCTTGGGAAAGTTAACGAACCTCTCTGAGCCGAAATGGAGCTGAACATGAGATCATACCCACGAAGCAGCTGGAACAGAGCTGGTACTCACTCACTATTGTTCAACGCCAGAGGCTTAGGGAATGGCTGCAGGCAAGTCCAAGGTCACGGTGGTCAGCAGATGTGCCCTGTGAGGAGTTCCGGCTGCCATTGGGTAGTCCTGTGGCCCCGGGCCAGTTTGTGTAACCTCAGGCTCCTGGCTTTAATGTGGGATAATAACAGCCATGATATCAGCGTCCTTGTGAGGAACGAATGAGAGCATCCCCTGACGTGCTCAGGAGGGGGCTTGGCTCTGAGAAGCACTCAGTGAATGGTGGCTATTTTTGACTGCCACCGTGGGGAGCCAGGCTTTCGAGCGGGTGGACTGTGAGCCGGGAGCTGCGGGGGCACCTGTGGGAGGTCCCGCCTGCAAAGGAAGCCAATCCAGCCCAGGCGGAGCTGAGACACAGCCAGCAAGGGGCTCCTGAGGGTGTCTTAATTTTTAAAAATATTTTATTGATTTTTTACAGAGAGGAAGGGAGAGGGATAGAGAGTTAGAAATATCAATGAGAGAGAAACATCAATCAGCTGCCTCCTGCACACCCCCTACTGGGTATGTGCCTGCAACCAAGGTACATGCCCTTGACTGGAATCGAACCTAGGACCCTTTGGTTTGCAGGCCGATGCTCTATCCGCTTAGTGCATTTTAGAATGTAATTTAGCCCAGCCGGTGTGGTTCAAAGGTTGAGCATCCATAGCCTCATGACCTATGAACCAAAGAGGTCATGGTACAATTCCCGATCAGGGCACATGCCCAGTTACAGGCTGGATCCCCAGTGGGAGCCGTGCAGGAGGCAGCCGATCCATGATTCTCTCATCATTGATATTTCTATATTTCTATCTCTCTGTCCCTCTCCCTTCCTCTCTCTGAAATCAATAAAGACATATTAAAAAATAAAATAAAAAGATAACTTTAAAAATGAACGTTAAAAACCGATAGCCATGAAGTTGCACTTTACACGCGTTTAACGCATGCAAATGCCACTCCGGCTGGCGCCTTGGTCATGAGGAAGTGAGGGCAATCCTCAGGGGGCAGGTGAGGGCTGAGCTTGTTCCTCGGTGGCTTTTGGAACTGAGAGTGGCACAAGCCAAGCCCATCTCTCCCTGCAGCCTCAGTTCCCACCCTCGGGTGCCCCCCACCCCCTGTTCAGCACCAGGCTGCCCTTTTAAAGCTCTCCGAAATCTCACCAACCTGCACATGAACCTGCTGTCTAAGAAAAGGCTTAACAACAAAAAACCACTATGAATTACTCTCTCGGCTTTTAAAGAAATTTGCGTATTTTTTTCATCGCACTAGCGCTGACAATCCAGTCATCTGTCTATGTGTAGGAGGTATTGTTGATTCATTCTATGGACGATTCCAGCTGTGCTTGGGGTCTGTAAGCCCTCGCTAGGGCTCTGAGCCCAAACCCCTCCTCTCACCCCCCCAATCCGCCCCCACCCCTCCGAACTGGGCAGTCTGCAGGTCACAGTGGAGCAATTCTCAGTTTGGGGCTCACTCCTACAAGCCACAGACAGATCCCCAAAAGCCACACTCCCCCTCTGATTCCCAAGAACAAGTAACACCACACACATCCACTGATTCCCAGCTTCGTGCATGACTAAGTGCCACTTTCTAGGAAACGACTGAGTTACCAGGATTCACTAGTCAGAACTAAAATTAGGATGTTACTAGGGTTTACCACGAGCTCAGCTGCAGGGAGCCTGGCTCCCGCTCCGTGCTCGCCGACGCTGGGAAACTCCTGCTGCCCGGCTCAGAGTGCAGGAAGGAGGGTCTTTGGCCTCGTCTCAGGGAGCCGGAGGTCAAATGAACTTGAGAGCCACTGTTCTAGGCTCTGCACCTTTTGGGGTGCTTTAGTCCACTGAAAGAGCCCTGACACTGCCAGCAGCCCCGACGTCCATCCTGACTCCACACATTTTAAACCACAATGAGTCACCCACACGACAGACTTCAGACAACTCGTACCCATCAACGACATGCAGATTCCAGTCCTGACCTCCAAATGCTGAAGCCCTCCTCTGCACCCTTAATACAGATTCATTAAGACTCTGTCATGGGGCGGGCATGGGTTAGTTCTGGGGCGTGCAGTGGTAACCGAGTCCGCCAATTCCCTGCCTGCATTGAGCGTACAGTCTGCTGTCAGAAAAAGACACGACACAAGCAGAGAGGCAAAGCAATTATACAATTCTAGTGCTACACACACACACACACACACACACACACGCACACACACACGCACACACACACACAGCACTGCAGCAGAGAACAGCAGGAGCGGCCCCATCGGAACACAGTGATTAAGGAGGGTTGTTTTATCAGCCAGGGTTGTGGAGGCAAGCAACAGAAAACCATGCTGGAGCTGGAACCGGGTTGGCTCAGTGAATAGAGCATAGGCCTGCGGGCTGGAAGGTCCCGGGTTCGATTCCGGTCAAGGGGTCATGTACCTTGGTTGCGGGTACGTCCCCAGTAGGGGGTGTGCAGGTGGCAACTGGTCGATGTTTCTCTCTCATGGATGATTTTAGCTCTCTATCCCTCTCCGTTCCTCTCTGTAAAAAATCAATAAAATATATTTAAAAAAAAAGAAAAAGAAAAGGATGCTGCAAATTGGTGGGAAAGATGTGGGGTGGCTCACAGAAACGGTAGAAAAACTAGAAAAGTTTCCTGTCCAGGAAGGACAGGAAGTGGAGAAACTCTGGGGACTAGGGGGCAAGAAGGGTTGGTGTGCCTCACATACCATTGCCTCACGGCCAGCAGTTCCCTGGTTCACTTGTGATCTGCTGGAGAAGGAGGTGGACAGGCCGGGCACCTTGACTGACAGTTGGGGGGGGGGGGCGGAATAAGGGTTCTATGGCAGATCACACTGGCTAGCTGAACGAATCCACATTACTACCTCCTTCTTTCTTCTTGCTTCCATTGTCAAGGGCAAGAAAAATGAAATCATTGCCTTCCCAGCTTCCCTTGAAGAAAGAGGTGGCCACAGGACACGGGTCTGGTCAGTGAGACAAGCTGCTGGGGGTGGGATAGGGTGGGGTAAGGGGTTGTTCTGGAAGAACCTTTGTTTTTGACTCAAAGGGACAGATATGACTGCTACCACTACTTCCACTTCTTCCTGCTTTGAACTTGGATAGAAAGCCTGGAATGGCAGCCATCAGTCTTCCTATAGCCAGGAGGGAAAGCCCAGGAGAACTACAGAGACACACTCTTCTGGGTATTGCTGTGCTGCTGAACAAACTCTGGGATCATCTGAGATCTTATTTTGGGGGGGGGGGGGTATAAATAATAATAACACTCCCCCCTTTTTTAAACTATTGTTTGTCAGGCACTTGACTGTTACATGCAGCCAACCACGTCTTAGTTAATTGTTGGCAATTGTATCATGTTCCCAACTCTTTACTCCCTTCCCTACAACAGGAGTAGACATCCTATCAATCGCCACGTGGATTGCAGTACAACCCCCCTCCCCCCAGAACTGGTGTGGCCTCCCCCATCCCTGACAGACTTGGGCACATGACATGTTTTGGCCAATGGAATACCAGCAGATATGACTCACATTCATATGCTAAGGCTAAACCAAAAGCATTTAAAGAGATTGCCTAATTCAGTTCTGTCCCTTGCTGCGTCCTATCAGCTGTAAGGACAACTTGTCCCGAGTAAAGGCTGCTTCTTTGACACAGGTCTCAGGATTGGAAATGCATGGAGCAGAGGTGGAGTAGCTGAAATGTGACAAGCATGAAATAAAGGTGTATTGTTGTAAGCTGCTAAACTTGGGGTTGTTTGTTACTGTAGCAAAGCTGACTAATACACTGGAAATGATGCTGTTACAAAAAAAAAAATGTATGGATGTTGGGTAGGCAAAATTAATGAATACTGACTCTTGAAGGCCTTACTGAGAAAGTGACAATGAAACCCAAGAAACAATCCGCCATGCCAAGAATCAGGTGAAGCGTATCCCAGGCCAGGAACCACATCCTCAGAGATTTGAGCTGGGGAAGCACTTCTAGCATTTTCTAAGAATTTGCAAGAAGACCAGCATG